GTGACGCTGAAGGACTCCTAAGCGACATCGTTTTCCCTCAGAAGTCGTTTATGAGCTGAGCAGAGATGACGTCGTTTTAGTTAGCGCCACTCATGTTCTGTTTTTACTGTATACACATACATGTCATTCTTTCACTCATAGATAGATTTAATTTCGGTTTGTTACCGTTGTAAATTACCTTCAAGTAACTCTATGTTCCCTTCGTGAAGAAGTAGACAGAGTAGGTTTATATATATACAGGTTGTGGCCACCAAAGACCCTTTTTCTTTCCCAAATCTGATCCATTGCAAAGTTTCACATGGTATCAGAGCTTGGTTCACAGAAATAGGGTTTCTTCACCCACATTCTTTTTCTTCTTCTTCCTTCCTTACTAAGCTATGGCGACTGCATCTGCAGAAGCTCTTCCAACTCCTCTTCTACAAATTCAGGAACTGCTCTCACGGTTGCTCCCACTGTCACTTTCCCTTACTACATTAACCCTAATGAATGACTCGTTTTCTCCACCAAGCATGTGGGTGCTTCCAGCTACAACCTCTGGAGTAGAACACTACGCATTGCCTTGAAGAGTAAGAACAAGTTGTGCTTCAGCAATGGGTCGATACCAGCACCAAATGCACAAGCAGACTCCTATCCTGCCTAGGAACAAAGCAACACCTCGGTGTTATTCATGATTTTGGGGTCTCTCGACCCAAGCCTCATCGATTCTGTCTCCACCATTGAAAATGCTCAACGTCTCTAAGAAGATTTGAAGCAGAGGTTTGGCCAGGCTGACAACATCAGGATCTGTGACCTACAGACCGTGTTATACTCTTTGAAGCAAAGTAACATATCTGTAAACCAATTCTATTCTGAACTGAAAGGATACTGGGAGGAATTGGGTCAATTCCTACCTATTCCCACCTGCATCTGTGGAGGAATTGCTAACCCTGGAGCTCCCTATATCACTGAAACTACCATGAGGAAGTATATGGAGAATGAATTTGTGATGAGGTTCATTAAGGGTTTGAATGATTCTTATGATAGAGTGAGAACCAATCTGTTTATGTTGAGCCATTTACCACCTATGGAGACAACCTTTCATTATGCTATTCAACATGAGAGACAACTCGCTAAACCAAACCCTGAGTCTCAAGTTGAATCTGTGACTTTACTTGCTGCAAATCAAGCTAAGGGAAAGGAAGTTCCTAAGGGTAACGTGTTTTGCCGTTATTGTAAGAAGGACAATCACGTCATAGCTGATTGTTATAGACTGAAGAGAAAGAACTCATTCAAGGAATCATGAGGATCTTCTGGATTTTCAAGACAGCTACAAGGTGCTGAAGGAAATGTTATTTTACCTTTGAATGAGACAAGGAGTGCCCGAGAATCTGGAGATGGGTAATACCAATGTGAGAGTTTCTGGTGAGGATATGAGTAGGATTCAGAAGCTGTTTAGCCAACTCAGTCCTCCTGCCTCATCTACTTCACCTGGATCTTCAGGATCATAGCACCATCAGAACCAACCCATGGTGAACTAAGATACTAGGCACTTGATTGTCAACCCAAACTATGCAGGTAAATACACATTGAGCTCTTACTCTATTAAGCACCCAATGGATCTTGTCAATGTGTGGTTCCTGGATACTGGAGTCACTGATCATGTAGTTTGTTCATTGAATCTGTTTGAATCCTTTGTACCCATTCAAAATGCTTTCATAACACTACCTAATGGTTCTAGAACTACTGCTACCCATTCTGGAACTGTTAGATTATCAACCAACCTTATTCTTCATGAAGTTCTGTTTGTACCAGCATTCTCTTTCAATCTGGTTTCCGTTAGCAGACTTACCAAAACCATTCCCATTTCACTTACTTTTAAATCCTACATATGTGATGTTCATGACCTGCTCGCCCAGAAGAAGATTGGTTTTGCCCAAGAGGGTAGAGGTCTTTACAAAATCACTACCTTACCAGAAGAGGAACCATCCATTCTTGTGAATTCCATCAAGACACCAAACCTTACACCTCAATCCTTTGACCTTTGGCACTGGAGACTTGGACATCCTTCTTCATTCAGAGCTAAGAAATTACAAAATTCAATTCCTAGTATAGATACAAAAGACATACTTCATTGTATTTTTGTCATTTATCAAAACAGAAACGTCTTGCTTTTCCTTCAAGCCTTTCTATGGCAGAGAATGTTTTTTATCTTATTTGTGTAGATATTTGTGGCCCTTTGGCAGTTACTAGTTCGATGGATTTTATTATTTCCTCATCATTGTTGATGATAGATCTAGAAGTGTTTGGGTCTACCTGATGAAACACAAGAGTGAAGCTAGACAGCTCCTTCAAGATTCTGTATCATGATTAAAAATCATTATGATACTAGTGTTAAAATTGTTAGAACTGATCTGATCTGAACAAGGAATTGAGTGTCACATTCCATATTTCTACTCTCTCCATGGCATCACCCATCAGATGTCATGTGTGGAAACCCCTCAAAAGAATTCTAGGGTAGAAATAAAGCATAGGACATCCTAAACGTAGCTAGATATCTCAAATTCCAATCAGGGATGCCATTGAAATTTTGGTCGGATTTTGTGATTCATTCTGTTTATTTAATCAATAGACTACCTACAGTTGCTTTAAAGAACAAAACACCATATGAAATACTTTATGAGAAACCACCACCTTTCTCAGCTCAAGGTTTTTGGATGTTTGTGTTATGCTAGTACACTTGGGCATGGCAGGACCAAATTTTCTCCTAGGGCTAAGCAGTGTGTTTTCCTAGGATTCCAACATGGGATTAAAGAATACAAGTTGTTTGACCTAACTGATCAGAAGGTGTTCTATTCTAGAGATGTCATATTCCATGAGCATATTATGCCATGCCTTGAATCCCAGTCACCTCCATCCACTGCTTCTAACCCTTCCCATTCACCTTCTTTGTCCCAGCCAACTTTCTTTGACAAAATACTTCCATTCCACCTTCACAAGGTACCATACCAAACCCTGACACACCAGAAGCTATTGTTTCTCCATATACAAATCTGGATGAACCTGAACATACCTCTCTTATCTCTTCTACTTCTCCTTCTCCTTCTCCTATGACAGCATCTCCTGCCAACACTACCCCTTCTCCTACAATTCAAGTTCCTCAGTCACCAGCTTCCTCTTCTATCCCAATTGCCATTAGAAAGGCTCCTAGAGTTCCTGTCAAGCCAGTCAGATTCAATGATTTTGTTATGCATGTTGACTCACACATTGACAAACAAAAGTATCCATTGGTTGCTTGCTTATCTTATGACCAGTTGTCACCTGGTTATAGGAAATTTGTTTGTGCAGTTGAAACCACAGTCATTCCTAAAACCTTTGAAGAGGTTTTTCAATATCAGTGTTGAAGAGATGCCATGAATGCAGAATTGAAGGCTTTGGCTGCAAACCACACTTGGGATGTGGTTTCCGGTCTAGCTGGGAAGAGATCAATTGGTTGTAAATGGGTGTTCACCATCAAATTCAACCCTGATGGTACCATTGAAAGGTACAAAGCTAGGCTGGTGGCAAAGGGGTTCACACAGATATATGGAGTTGATTTCCTTGATACATACTCTCTTGTGGCCAAACTAAATTCAGTGAAGACCCTTCTTGCTCTAGCTACTGCAAAGGACTGGGAGTTACACCAATTGGATGTCAGTAATGTATTCCTTTCAGGAGACCTCACAAAAGAGGTATACATGAATGTTCCCCCTGGCATCTCTGATCATGGTTGTGTCTATAGACTTAGAAAGTCGTTATATGGCCTGAAGTAGGCTTCTAGGTAGTGGTTTTGCCAAACTCACATCTGCCTTAGTTGGCTTTGATTATCACCAATCTCACAGTGACTATTCCATGTTTATTCACAAAACTGCATCTAGCATCACTGTCCTCCTTGTGTATGTCGATGACATCATCATTGTAAGTGATGATGTGCATGCTATCTCAACACTCAAGCAATTTCTACATTCTCAGTTCAAAATTCGTTATCTCGGCCCTGTTCACTAGTTCTTAGGCCTTGAGATTGCTCGATCAAGGGGGGGGATGCACATCTGTAAGAAGAAATATTGTACTGATCTCTTGGAGGATACTGGATATAATGATTCCAAACCTGTGATATCCCCAATAGACATGAAGACTCAACTTTCTGCTGGTGATGGTCCTCTCCTTGAAGATGGTATCTATTCAGGAAGATCCTTGGACGTTTACATTACCTCACCATTACCCGTCCAGATCTTACCTTCACTGTCCAGCAATTGTGTCAGTACCAATCTTCCCTACCACTACACACTTATAACTTATTTACAAGGTGCTGAAATACCCGAAGAATGCCCCGGGACAAGAACTCTTCTATCCTTCTCAGTCTGATTTTCAATTACGGGAATACAGAGACTCGGATAGGGCTACATGCCCTAATACAAGACGTTCTACAACAGGTTACTGTATTTCCCCTGGTAAGTCACTTATCATCGGGAAATCGAAGAAACAGGGGACTGTTTCTCGTTCTTCCTCTGAAGCTGAATACCGAGCCCTTGCTCAGCTTACCTGTGAGATTGTTGGGTAAAAAGACTTCTACAAGAGCTATACATCGAACATCCGAAGTCTGTGGAAGTTTTCTGTGAAACTCGCTCTGCCATCTACATCGCTGAGAATCCTGTGTTTCACGAGCGAATGAAACACATTGAAGTCGATTGTCACGTGGTAAGACAATTTCTTCAGTCCAAATTGATTTCTCTGAGTCATGTGGAAACAAAGCATCAGGTAGCAAATATGTTTACGAAAGGGCTGAGCTATCATCGTCTTCAATTTCTATTATCCAAGTTGAACATGCACGACATGTATGCGTCAGCTTGAGAGGGCATATTGGAGAAGAAGATGTTGGGTATTGGATCTTAAATCCGTGACGCTGAAGGAATCCTAAGCGACGTCGTTTTCCCTCAGAAGTTGTTGATGAGCTGAGCAGAGATGACGTCGTTTTAGTTAGCGCCACTCATGTTCCGTTTTTACTGTATATACATACGTGTCATTCTTTTATTCGTAGATAGCTTTAATTTCGGTTTGTTAGCGTTGTAAATTACCTTCTGGTAAACTCTCTGTTCCCTTCGTGAAGAAGTAGACAGAGTAGGTTTATATATATACAAGTTGTGGCCACGAAAGACCCTTTGCGGATTCTTATCTGATCCATTGCAAAGTTTCACTGATCAATCATTCAGCTTCTAAGCTTTCTAGTGATCTCAGCAACATACTTCCCCTGGTGAAACGCCTGCTGCAGTTCCAGCTCCGTCGGCTGCCGGCTCCCATCCGCCGCGAAAGTCCCGGCCCCGTAAGACGACCCGCCTTTCACTTCTTCCATCTCAAACATCCCGCTCCCAAACGTGTACCCCAGCGGCACAAACAGCATCCCGTGGTGGGCTAATTGCGTGATCGCCGTCCATCTGCCAATCCAAAAAACAGAGTACCCAGTACCCACTGATCAAATAACCTAAACTACAAATTGGGGAGAAGGAAAGAAAAATGAATTGGGTAGAGGGAGGAATGTTATTAAACTGACGCTGTGAGCTCCTGTCCTCCGCCATGGAAGCCAGTGCTCCAGAAGATACCGGCAGGCTTTCCAGCAAGCGACTGGGAAGCCCAGAGCTCAGTGGTAGCGTCGAAGAAGGCCTTGCATTGGGCCGCCATGACTCCGAACCGGGAAGGGAACCCGAACAGGAACCCGTCAGCTTCCAGCAGCTGCTGGGTTTGGATTACTGGCACGTCATCTGGTTTCGGAGGCGCCTTCATCTTTTGCAATATGGTGTCGTTCAGTGTCTCCGGTATCTGCAAAAGTTCAAATTCCCCCCACTAAGGCATCGGCATATATACATCCGGAGAAATGAATTTTGTTGAGTTAAGGGAATTCAAATTTAACCAAGACCTGCCAAAGAGTTGCTTCGACGCCTGGGACGGAGTTAGCACCTAGCTGAACTTGTCGAGCCATAGTCTCCACATGTCGGTGCAATGAATAGTATCTGTGAGAAACAGAGCATGTTCAATTCGAGACCCAAGCGACGATCATAACACCAGAAAGAAGAGACTGTAACTTGTTCTGATGCGGCTGCTTACATGATGTACACCTTCACAGGTCCAGGAGCCATAGCTTGGATAGTTGGATCCAATGCTGGCCAAATTAGTTGCTGCTTGCTACGATGATCTGCGGACGATCAATTGATGTCTGATGATGATACTGATACACATTATAATAATGGAGTGGACCTTATCATATTGTCATATTTTAATGTTAGAATTGAGGTGAATGGATAGACATGAATAGGGTATCGCCATTATTATCATAACCTATCACCATCAATCATACAATAACTCAAGGAATTGCTATTGCGCGCGCGGGGGAATCGTTCCAACCAATTGATCACAACAATTACAAAATTTATCTAAGGACTAAGACAGAGGATCGAGGAGCAATCATATATGACAGAGGAGAAGACAAGTAGACTACCAAGTGAATATAGTATGAGGCCATTGAGAAGGGAAAGAGTACCTGTGATGAGCTCTGTAGGAGAAGTAGCTGTTGCGGCCGAAAGGTGAAGAGACGGAGGAGCAGAGGCAGAGATAGAGAGATGATCGGAGAAGTATGATGTCGCCGGCGAGGCAGAGGCAGAGGCAGAGGCGGTTGGGTGAGAGAAGCAGAGGATGATCTGGTGTTGGGGATGGAGGGTAAGCTAAGTTTGTCGGTGGAAAGAGGGAAGGATTACCTTCAGAAGCATGCACGGTTTGTGTCGTTTATGCTAGAGGCCTGGAACAGCAGGTGGGTTCGGATAAGCATGTACTCTGCTGGGAAAGCCGCCCGCTGCTTTTCCCTTTTCCCATTTCTCTTTCTCCACCAATTTGTCCCCTTCTTCCACCCAACTACTCTAACTCCTAAGTTCTACCTCAATCTAACCTAACCACAGCGATCTTTCCATTTTTTATTTTTTCTGTTGTTTAGGGATGTGCCACGGCCCACGAGCCTGCTGCGGTGTTTAATTCCTATCCAAGGCTTTCACTCCGTCACACGAATGAGCTGGCCTAAATCCAAAGCCCAACTACGATGCAGTTGTTCCTTGATCACTTGATCATCATCAAGGTTATCAACCCGCGGGTCGACCCGTGGGTTGACCCACTTTGAATCTAATCCGGTGAGAAAAACGGGTCAACCGCTATAAGGTACCGGGTTGGAGGTCAAATTGTGTTATTTTTTCCTTTGTTTTACGAAATGCGCCTATTTTCCGATTTTTCTTTTCACTTAACTCAATCTTTGGAATCCTAAGTTGAACATTTGAATATTAATGTTATATAAGTGTGTGTGGATTTTCACTATATGTTGAATCTAAGTACGAAATGTTATTTTGGTGTAATATTATATGTTATAACTCATATGTTAGATGAGATTTGATATAATTTATCAAGATAAGTACAATATAATGACTCTTTCCATATTTCCGGACTAAACCGGGCTAAAACGGATGACCCACTAACCCTTGACCCATTAGCTCAACCGTGTCCGGGTCAACCCGCGAATTGACAACCTTGATCATCATTCTAGTTGAGAAAAACGGGTCAAACCAATTTTGTTTCTTCCGTTTTTGGTTTGACTTACTTCTCCTCTTTTGTTTTTACATTATTGATCTCCTCTTTCAGTCTTTTTTATGTTAATTCCTTTGGAATTTGCTCACTACTATTTTAAAAACTATTTATTAATCATTGTAAGAACAATTTACGAGTATAAAAAAGAAGAAGAAAATCTCGTTATTTTAGACTAATATTTAGAATTCGATGATGAGGTGTAAGTATAACCTGGAATATTTGTTAGGCCCAAAATTGATGTCGTGGCTAGGGGTGGAAGTTTGGTTTGCGGGTTGCGGGTAACCCGCAAACTGCACCAAACCACACACTTTGTGGATACCCATATTCACAATTTGTGGATAGTGGGTTGGGTGTGGGTAGCAAAATATTGATTTTTGTGGTTAGTGATTAACCACTACCCACAGCGATTTACCCACAAAACCTACATTAACCACATTATATATTACTTTGTGAAACTTGGAAGACTAAGAATTAAGGTAGCTACTAAAATCAAATACATAGTTAGTCTATAAAATAATCCCAAGTCAATACACAATGTTCGTGTGAGATACTTTTATCAAATAAGTATTGTCCGTGTGATATATGTTTATTTTATAAAGAAACCAAGTCCATAGATATAGTCAGATAAATTAATTAATTCGTTAGAAGATGGAATAACCGATAAAGGTTAGTTCGATGCCCAAACTCGTCTCCATTTCTCCACGAACTCACGAACAACATAACATGCAACTAGCTACCAACAATATAAGACTATAATCAAGAGTGAAGAATAATCGATTATTAAAAGCGGATGCCTCCACTTATCGAGCCACTTTTGTGTTTTGTTGTTGTTGCCATCGGAGGAGCCATGACATGCAACGATGTTTGTCTGGAACAATTCACTCCGCCTATCCATTATCTTCAAATCTCTTTCCAAATCCATCTCTTCTGAATTTACACTAACTAACCTCTTGTATTCGAGATTTATAATTAATTTAACACTTTATTAACTTTCTTTTATGTATGTATGTATGTATGTATGTATGTATGTCTGTATTTTTTTTTTTTTTGTATGTGAGAAGAAACACAACTTCAGTATTTAATTATCATATTATTTTATTTAATGATGAAATTTTTGTGTGTATCCACAACCAACCCGCACCAACCCGCAGCGGATAGTGGTTAACCACTACCCACCGCGGGGCGGGTTGTGGGTAGCATAATTTTATATTTGTAGTTGTGGTTACCCACAAAATGTGGGGCGGGTAACCACACCCACTCCAATTTCCACCCCTAGCAGCAACCGGTGTATCATGTTCATACAGTGGGCCGTGGATTTATATAATTGTTGGGCCTTAACAAGCCATCTTACGTCTAGACAAAGTGGGCCGAATAATGGACTAGTCACAGCGAATTAAGAGAGGGATTTCATTGGGTACTTGCGGATCCCACTTCTCTTTTGGCTCGTATTTATAGGGGACGCAACTTCAGTTCTACTCCTTCTATTCTGAACTAGCTTGGGCTCGGCCAGTTGGTCGGAATATTTACAATTATTTAATAAAATTTTTATTAAATAAAATTTATTAAGTATTGTGAAAGTCGGTAGTGAACCACTAAAGCTGACAAAAAGGAGGAAAAGCGAAGAAGAGAAAGTATAAACAAAATTAGTAATAATAGTGAATCAGTAGTGAATAATAGTGAATCAGTAGACCAGTAATAAAAGTAGTTCAATTGGTTCGCGTCCATTTGGAAGAAGAGAAAGTAATTCATTTTGAATGGTCTTAGATTACGTCAAAGTTTTTTGTGGCAATAATAGTGAATCAATAGACCAGTAATAAGAGTAGTTCAACTGGTTTCGCGTCCATTTGGTAAAATCGTTAGTTCTAACTCTAATCATCCAAACAAAAAAACCAAATCACTAATGTAATTGATTAGACAATGCTACCAATCATCCGTTAGTCTGGTTTGATTCTTGTAACAATGATTCAATAATGTAGACGGAGCACCTCATTCAAGAAACTTTCCATTAAGTTAACCTTAATGATATAATTTTGTTTATATGTGAAAAAACATCCATTAAAATTTCTCTATCATCTATTTTAATTTTACAATAAAACTATACTCCACTGAGGTATGATAAACCATAGGATTTGATTAGTTAAACTAACAACTCCACAATATTCAAAATAGTATCAATTAGCATTTATGATCATTATAAACTTGGCCCCGTGGAAACTTAATTAAGAAGTGGAAACAGAAACTGATAAAAACATAGATCAACACATGCGAGATCCTCCTCTGAGCTCTACTCTGGCGACCAGTTCTGCTTCGCCAGGACGGCCGCCGGACAGCCCTCTTACTGACCAAATCAATGCCGCTCCGGTCGCGGTGGGCGAGGTGTTGTCGACTGCTGCGACGGACAATAACTCGTCGGAGAATCACTCGGATATGCAACTTGATTCACCCCCTGACGTCTCGGATCTGACCCGCTCTAATGGTGCCTCGGAGGTGGTGGCGCAACCAAGACAGCTGGTGTCATACGCCGGGGTTGTGGCCGGAGAAGGGACCCCTTCTAAATCTCCTATGTCACAATGGATTCCGGTTGGTGAACATGACCTTGTACCGGGATCATTCCAGGGAGAGCCAGAGATAAAACTCTCGGATGGTTTCAGGTCCAAACTAAGCGCCCCATGGCAGAGGACCTTGATTGTGAGGCTGCTAGGGCGGACTATTGGCTACGCAACGCTCTATAGCCGAATCAAGACCCTATGGCGGCCAACTGGGACTATGGAGGTATTAGCCCTTGATGACGATTGTTTCTTAGTCAAATTGGGAAATGATCAGGACTTCTTCAAGGCATTAACGGAAGGGCCCTGGGTGATTTACGATCACTACCTTCTAGTAAGCCAATGGACGCCGGGGTTCAGGATCTCAGACGGGCTACCTAGCAAGATGGTCGTTTGGATCCAGTTACCGGGACTTCCAATTCATCTGTACCACAAGGAGCTCCTTTTCTCCATCGGCAACCTGATCGGGCGCGCTATCAAACTGGACTTCCACACCCTGCATCAGCAGCGTGCACGTTTTGCTAGGATGGCAGTGGAGGTGGATCTGTCCAAACCGTTGGTGCCAAGGATACGCCTTGATGGTCAATGGCAAAAGGTTGGGTACGAAAATTTACCGGTCTTCTGCTTTGATTGTGGAAAGGTTGGACATACCAGGGTCTCGTGTTCGCCGCTACCCCGGGAAGAGCTGGGTAATGGTCCGGCGGGGATTTCGTCGTCGCCGGCAGTTGATTCATCGCCGGTGGACCCGGCGGGTTTCGGACCGTGGATGTTGGTTTCGAGGAAATCCCGGCAGAATCAGCAGGATAAACCTATTCAAGGAAAGTCTGAGCAGGGAAAGCAAACCGTTAGGAGTTCGGAGAGGATCAAGGAGACGAAAGAAGGAAATTACCCAAAGAATCATGGGGCCGGCTCGACTATCCTCTCTGCTTCGGCCACCAATCTGCAGCTGTCAGGCGCGAAATCACAGGCAGGAGAAAAGATGAAGACAGGGACAGGGAAAAACGGGAAGGGCGACAACAAAGGGAAAGGGAAACTGGAGGAGACAATTTCAACGGGTGGTAAAGGAGTACTTGGGCCAAGCCCACGACCCGCAGGGACAGGCTCCGCGGAGCCCAGCAAAAGGGGAGGGCTGAAGGACACTGGATCCTCAAGCATGATAGGGGAAAGGAGGCCGGTGGCCCAACAGGCTGTTCTTAATGAAAATGGGCCGCGACCCACAACCCAGGAGAGCATTCCAGTTCAGTCCATTCAAGGAAACCAATGAACTAACATCCGAATAGTCCAAGCCCATCCTTACGTCTTACCTCCGCCCCGCCCGATTGACCCAGCGGCGCCGTCGACCGCGTCTCGCACGAAGAAGGAAAAGGGTCGGATGAGGGAAAAGAAAGGAACGCCGATCCGGAATAACCCGCTGAAACCTCTTCAAATCTGGTCTTCGATCAAGGAAAAGAAAGGAAAAAGCAAGGAACGGCGGATTTCCTTGACTCTCGAGCAGATCAAACAATGGACAGAGCTCTCGAAGTCAGGATCAGCGATAGAAGCCGAGCCTCCTTTCACCTCCTCTCCAGCGGACAAAGACGCCGAGTCTCCCTGTGCCACGAGCCCTTAACCGTCCCCTCTGCCTCGTTTTTTTGTTTCCTTTCTTCTCGTTACCTCTCTGTTTATGTTTTTAATGTCTGATTTTTTAAAATTTGGTTTTAAAATCCTTTCTTGGAATGTTGGAGGGGCTGGGAGCACAACTTTCGTTCGTTCTCTGAAGCTTGTGCTCCAGCTCCATAAGCCTGACATTGTTATTCTTGTGGAACCGCAGGTTAGTGGCGATATCGCCAATGGTGTTTGTGGGAAATTGGGGTTCCCGGATGTGCTCCGGGTTGAAGCTACTGGGCGGAGCGGCGGAATCTGGTTGCTGTGGAACGCTCAACATCTCTCGGTTCAAGCTGCTTCAGCAGGTTCCCAACACCTCACTGTCAATGTCTCCAAGGCCGGGATGCCTCCCTGGAAGCTGACGGCGGTGTACGCATCTCCCAGACAGCAACTCCAACGCCCTCTTTGGCACAACCTCATTGAACAGAGTAAAGGAATCCATTGCCCCTGGCTCCTCACAGGGGACTTTAACGCGATTCTTTCCCCTATG